ATAATCCAAGCGTCAATCTTTTCCAATCGTTTCAGGCTGTTGATAGCTGTCGTGACACCATTATTGGTCATCCGGGGACTTGACTACCGGCTAGACATGCCTCGTATTCCCGCCATATGGATGAATGGTTTGACAGACGACAAAGGTTTCCGTACTCATCACGAAATATTGCTTGTTGGGCCGTGAGCGCTCAAACAAATGACTGAATCATTGCCGGAATTTGTACATTTCCATAGTAACCTGGGCACGTTTTGTTGTAAATGAGAGAATGATGTCATCAGTGTCGAGTCAACATATGGTTGTAGTGATTCATAGCAGCAAGTCATTACGGATATTAACCGTCTTCCTTATAAATGATCCATAGACAAAGACAAGGCATATACATTTCGACATCCAGCCCCGACTTGGTCACCTATTGCACTACTAGTGATAACGGGTATCGCGTTTGTATTGACAATGTGGAGCTAAAAGTGTAAGGCTCAAGGAAATCGATTCCTGAAACCTTTCGTGTGAGGCTAACCAGCTGATAACGTTCCATAAAAACAATGACAAGTTCATCTGTGAAGTATAATCTAGGGTTTCTATTTCTGTTTCCAATCTGCAAAGATGTAACATAACGGCATTTCTTGAAAATCGATAAAGCCGAATTATACATATTTGATTATTTCCACATGAAATTTGAACCAATAAAACAAACCCAATTTGTGAGCAACGAACCCAATTAATGAACACAACATTTGATCATTCTAAATCATCAGCGAGGATGAAGCTTATGAAAGGGTGCCATCACGTGGATGTTATAACAGATGAATAAAACAGACAACCAAGAGACCACTCAAGACTGAACACACACAATTCTACGGCAACGACTGTAAAGATTATACAGGGTGTAGAGTTGCTGACTCTGTGAGAAAAGTGAATATTTCCATTCGGAACCATCTTAAATCTACTACATAATGACTCCCCTACAGTCTTGCTACTGAAAGGGTTCAATGAATGCAGTCTATTTGTCTTAAGACGAAGTAATTTAAGACTGCGAGCTAGTAAGGAGCCGATATCATCATGGCTCAAAGATGCTGTCGTTCGGTCAGCCGAACCTTCTGTTCAATGAAGCCACAGCCGTTACTCTGATCTTTTATCCTGAATTGGTAGATAAAAGAAAATTCAGAAAGTGCGTTTTTCTGTACATGGGTCACCACTGATGACGATAAAACCCTTTCCACATTCATAAGTAATCGCTGCTAAAAGCAGAGTCGATTATACAATTGTGAGTATATCATGAGCATATATATGTTTCAGCTGTATAACAGCTGTACGACGTTGTTTGTAAACAAATCGAGTCTGGACCAGACAATCCAGTGATTGTCACTCTGCGAAAAACATGCAAATGTACTCAATAGATGAATAAATACATGACTTTACACAGAAGCCAGGATTATTCGGATTTGGGTTAAATGAAAATATGTAGCTTCTTTGAGAGGCATTTAGAAGTTGGAGCAGTAAGGAAGGATAACAATATATGGATGAACAACTTCATCATTGCTGTGAGAGCGACGTTATCAAGCAAGTGATGAACAGCATAAGGATGAAGGAGCATATGTACAAGTTAGAGCAGATGTTTGTACAGATACAATGGGGATTAGGAAATATGTAGGTCCTCCAAACCAATATCGAGTAGGAGTCAAATATATCACAGACAGGGGGAGTGAGTGAGTTTAGTTTTACGTCGCTTTAATCAATATTCTAGCAATATCACGGTGGAGGTCACCAGGAATGGGTTTCACACATTGTACACATGTGGTAAATCGAACCCAGGTCTTCGACATGACGAACGAACGCCTTAACCACTAGGCTACCTCACCCCCAGAGGAAAGCCTGTTTCACAAAACGATCGCAGAGCTATGACTTTCCTGACTCAGGTACCACCTGAACGTGAACAGCTCGCCAGAGAGCTGGTGTCAAACATGCTAATGTATATGATTGTGATTAGTTTGGCTTGAGGGAAGATTAACGACATCAGCTGATGTTTACAGCAGTCAGATAGATAGTTCCTTGAAAAAGTCTAGGCGTTCTCTTGTGTGAATCCTGAGTAGAGTAGAGTACCGGCGCCAAGGTATCAACTCGTAAAAGCCACTTAATGATGTCCAGTGGTTACCTATATTGTGTGTCACCGAAGTCGTCGTTCCCGTTCAGTCTGTACACTCCACCCTGCCACCGGGCCGCCACAGCTGTCACAGCGCCCCACTACCCTGATCATGTCACCCATAACGTGAGTGAGTGAGGCAGTGAGTGAGTGAGCGGGTGGGTGGATGGGTGAGTGAGTGACATAAGATTTTACATCACATCGTCAGCTATATCGCGACGAGAACAAGTTTTTTATCATTAAATATATATCTGCAAAGGACAATAAAATAGAAAGTTCGCCAAACTAGTCAGCAGGACATTACAATGTCATGTCTGTATTATTTCTGTATCTGCACGGCTTCGGTAACGGCGGGAAGTCCTCAATGTCCCTGAATATTTCATGTATAATGATATTCAGATTAACAGCCTCTGAATGCCATGGCTATGTTTTATTTATTGAGATTAGTGTCTTCCTTTGTCGTTGTTGCCACCTGAGGACTCACTGATTCACTGAAGCTCGCCACACGTGGGCGGGCCGAGACACGTCATGAAACGGATTTTATAGTACACGTGACCTTCACCTGCATATTCTGGGTTGTCCCTGACACAGACAGACATGAACGTTGGTATGAATATCTGACGTCATTGGTAACAAATTAATAATTAGAAATCTCACGAAGAAGATGTGTCACACAGCAAATACCCTTCAGCACCAGGTGCGACTAATTAGATGGAGTGAAAATTGGATTATGCCGCTTTGAACCGAAATTTTCAGTTACACCACGGCGTCAGGTTGATATGGGAGGCTAGTCCGAAGCGATGCTAGTCTTGCATATCTACAACCTGGCGAACCCAATGTGCAATATGCTAACAGAGGACAATCATAATCGGGGTCAATATATGATTCCAATTCAAGCTGTTGTAATTGGAAAAGACGTGAAAGTGATAAACAAGATATAACACAAGGTAAAAGGCGGGGGCATAAAACAAGACATATTTTAACTGTCTGACCACCTAAATGAATCGAGAGGAATTCTCTTTACGGAGTCTTCAGCTCACAGTTCCAGCTGCATTGTGGACTCTCCAACACTCTCTCTGACGATAAAATGCCGCATGATGCTGGTGAAATGTCTGCCCTCCACACCTTCAATGGCATGGCGGAAGTACAAAACAAGGATCAATATTTAATGGTTTAGGCACGGTCTTCCTTATTAAGCATTCAGCGCATATTTGCAAACATCGACCAACATTGCCTGCTGTAAGAATTCATTCTCCAGGGGAAAATCTGCCGTTTCCTGATCATTTGATCATGTGTTACTGCAATACAATAAGCACTAAACTTAATTTTCAACGAAATGAATTGAAACGAATAACAACATTATTTTAATGAAAGATAAACTTCAAGAATTTATTTAAAAGATTATTTTATGTATTCAATGAATTCCGAATACCTAATACTAAATAAATATATGTCGTATTTTACTTTGTCAGATTAATTTAAAAATAATCTATCACTGCCGACTGTGAACACGAAAACATAGCAATAACATATCATTGAGGGCAAACGCCACATAAATAGAAGCCAAATTTGTGTTCCCTAGCAAACTGTTTTGGTTGTATTTCAGCTGTTGATGCAATCGTCAACGGGATGTGGTACGTTCAAGCAGAGGTAACCTCCACAGGGAACGGTGCAAATGATGCTAATAGCAGAACGGTGACCTTCCAACACAACCAGCTGACCGGATGCTTCCTTTGATTGACAGGGGGAAGGTAGGTGAGTGAGTGAGTGAGTGGGTGGGTGGGTGAGTGAGTGAGTGACGGAAGATAAAGTTAAAAGACTTACAAATCCAAAAACGGAATGTAAAGACCGACTGTTAACACCCATCTTGATAAAGCCTGAATGTTGCTGACTGGCGTAAAACACCCTTTACTCAATGTACACATTGGGGAGGGTTCAGTTCGGTAACGACGACGCTGCACCAAAAAGGCGTGGGAAGCAGCGTCAATGCAGCACAAGCACCGCATGTCTCTTGGCTGTACAGTGGGCTGTGGCACAAGTTTTGTTTACACAATTCGGATGACCCTTACAGATGAAAATCTCACTTTAAAGCCTACTTCTCTTTTGCCCAAGCTGTGTTCAAGGCCATGTTGTTCTGGCAGTTTCAAACAGAAACGGATGACGTTTTTCAAGGTTAACTCTTTTATGAAAAAGGAGGTGAGGTGAGGTGAAATTGGGTTTATCGTCGTGCTTGAGAATATTTCGCTCATATGACGACGTGCATGCGTGTGTATGTGTATGTGCGGCTGCTTGTACTAGCCCAGACTGAAGCTGGTTTTATAGTGCTAGCCCACTGAGATACCATGCCCCAGTGAAGCATGAATACCCCACTCAGACACATTATACTGACTCCGAGCCGACCAGTCCTTGTTGTACCCATTAATGCCGAGCGCCAGGCAGGGACCAACAAGTACCATATTTTAACGTCTTTTGGTATGACACGGTCGGGGATCGAACCCGCGACCTTCCGCTCTCCGGGCGGACGCTCTAACCACTACACCACGGAGGCGGTCTCATATGAAAAAGGAAACAAAACTTTTAAAGAGTGCAAGAGTATTTTTACCTATGTTTAGCATCTTTTGTTTATGTAGTTAAATAAGACTAAATTCGTCTGTAACACTATCATCAGTAATACACAAGGACTCCTTGACATAGATTTGTACCAGTCAGATAGCTAGATTCGATAATGAGTGATATCAGTGTATGCTATATTAGATTATAAATATGCATATTTGAATTTCTGCCAGGGAATTAGACTGGGAAGAACAGGATCTGAACCCATATACCTCGAAAGAAAATGAAAATGAAAAACACTTACTCGCACAACTTGTTGCTATGGCCGGTCCCGATATGTCTGACAAGTTCATTGTTCTCAGCTCTGCAGGGTTCCTGGATACTCATCAGATCACTGGACGTGCATGTCAGACAAGACACTGGAACAGAAATAACACATTGTCAGACAGGGAAACACGTACAGTGGATGGAATCAGCAGGCAACAAGTGAGTGCAGGACGGTGTTTACAGCTGTGACGATATCAGTTAGCATTACGATCACGATGGTGTCGCACAATCAGCCAGGCAACCAATCCTCATCTGTCGGCTGTCTGAAGAAGACTCGACTGTTTACCAGCGGCCGTCGTATATCAAGACCACTGATGTGGTGTTAGACAAGAAGCAGACACTTTCTGCCAGTTGTGTGGATAGCGGATTGTTATCCAAGCAGTCTACGTTTGTTTGTTTAATTGATGTCATGAAAGCTTTTAATAAGGTTAATCGAAATTGTTTATGGTATATTAATTGTTGATACAGCAATAAACTATATTTCTTCTTCTTCATCTTCTGTTATAGGTGGGGCAGGTCATGCGTACCCATTCCGCCACCACCGGGTGTCATCCCCGACGACGCTCAGTGATCCTATTGCCACTCTGGCGCTCATTGGAACCTTTTTACGCAGATGACCGAGACTGATTTTTCTCTGGTGCTGACATTATATATTTCCATGACGTAAAATAACACTCATCTATTCTGTTGACATATAGAAACCAGGTAGGTTGTCTGATTATAGTCGACACAACGTCACAGTCACTATAGTCCTTTTTGGTTGTATGGTCTTCTAGGCGTGTATGCAATGCATGCAGTAGTGTATGCACAACCCTGTTTACCACATGCTACACATGCTTCACGCTGAAGATACAAAACGAAATAACTTCGCCTTGAACGTCTATTTTCCTTTCTTTCACTGAGTGTGAAAATAACCAGGTCAAGGATACCTCAAATAGCTCATGTGACAAAATCTGCAACAGCCATAACAGGAAATGCAACATATGCATTGCATGATGGGATCTCCAACACGGGCGTCCTGGCAGCGCGAAGGGTTACAAATACACACAGTCTTATGGCAGATTCAGGATCGTTGTGTCTGCGGTGACTGGCAGACATATTATGAAGAAACATCTTGTTAACTAACTAAACACGGGAAGATAAGCTTTTGAATGCTTGGGTGATGGATAATAGCAATTATCTACATGTTGAAAACTGTACATGTTTCTGATAATCATCAAACTGACAAACAATGAGCAGAACTTGGAGAAAGTATCATACCCTGTCTTAAATGGACACTGCTTTTGTAATGCTACCTTGCACCAAACGGAAAAGTTGTAACGTAAATAAAACAAGTTAAGTGCCAAACTGATAAGGACGAGTATATAGTATACCTGAGACGATTAAGCGGAAATACATCAAAACTGTTGTTCTTTCAACATTGACAACCACTGAAAATATATGCTTCAGTTCAAATTAAGGCGATTCTTACTCTGCCACGTGTGTACAATGTTATGGTGGATGTAGACCACAGAGGGAAGAGATTTCAACTTACAAGATGAGATCCACACTACAAAATAGCTGTACACATTAGTCAGTGAACATATAAAAAAACCAACGTAAACATTTAAAGCTTAATCTTGGAACATCACTTCCTCACGTTCGTGGGGATTTAGGACCAAATGTAACTAATTAGAGCAGAAAACTCAATATGATGAATGGTTTAAAAGATCATAAACATGTTCTTTTCTGTTAAGTGTGTTTCTGAAGTGTGAGTTCCTCGAAAGAGTGATTGGTATTCCAGTCATATCGCAGGCCTCGGACAATTACTACTTCGGATAAACACACGAGCACGGGTATGGTGCCTACAAACCTAATTCCTAAACGGAGCAGCACGGGATTCGAACCCACCACCACAGGTTTTGTCATGACCAAGGTACACAACTCGAGTTATGCACGACTTCAGCAACAAGGAAGGTTGACGGTGTTCACTGCTGTGCCTCTATAACTCGAAGATGACTAAACCTGTTTCGTGCTTACACTTATACATTCTTCTCCAAACGTCACAATGTTTTATCATTCAGCGGACCATGGTTAGTGTGGCGTGTAACCATCATCCTGGTTCCCGGGCCTCTCATTAGTCTATATAAACTAATGAGACGCCCGAGAACCAGGATGTGTAACCATTGCCTGTCATAATTCCCTGTGTACATGATACACGTTGTGTTAGTGCAGCAACTTCTACCTGCTTTGTACATAACCCCGGATATGATTCAATGTCATAAATGCAAAAAAATGTTACCGGTCCAATTAGTGCCAAAGTCATACGTTGAACAGGTGCATTGAACATCGACTTGTTTTCATTTTTTTTGTAATTCAATCTTTCAAGAGAAAGAACACCATGAACATGAACTCGGTCTCTGTGGATGAGATAAGAAGATTAGATGAGCTTCCCTTCTCAGGAAACCCGAACTTCATGTTGAGAATTAAACACGAGCGACTAGTGTCAAATACTTTCACATTTCGGGAGGAAGGGGCACTGATCTCGTCGTTTCATTAGCTGTGTTTGGTTGCGGTTACCCCATCGCTCACAGATATGCACCAGAGAGCCTCCAGGAAGTATTCACAATATTAGCTGGGGCAGTTGTTTAGACAGCCTGCCAAAACAGATGTGTTCAAATGAAACAGAAGAGTCCTATTTATTTTCTAACTTACGTCTAATTTAGTAACATACGTGTCGCAAATAAACAATGGAACCCAAGCTTAGAAATTTTAAATAACAACGAAATTTGTTCAAATAAAACACGCCATCGTGAATCAGAGCGGTCACATTTCGAGATACATGACCGTCAGTCATATTGCCGGACGAGGCACCGAGATACATGACCGTCAGGCGTCAGTCAATTGCCAGAAAGGCACCGAGATACATGACCTTCAGGCGTCCATTGCCGGACGCACCGAGATACATGACCGTCAGGCGTCAGTCATATTGCCAGACGAGGCACCGAGATACATGACCGTCAGGCGTCAGTCATATTGCCGGACGAGGCACCGAGATACATGACCTTCAGGCGTCAGTCATATTGCCGGACGAAGCACCGAGATACATGACCTTCAGGCGTCAGTCATATTGCCGGACGAGGCACCGAGATACATGACCGTCAGTCATATTGCCAGACGAGGCACCGAGATACATGACCGTCAGTCATATTGCCAGACGAGGCACCGAGATACATGACCGTCAGGCGTCAGTCATATTGCCGGACGAGGCACCGGTTTGGTGAACACCAGAGTAGGTGCATATTCAGATGGATCTGGAAACCACATAGACCCAAACATCCTGATGTAGTCAAGGGAGTCAACTCATCAGCGAATGTGGGAGACTGGGCCAGCAGACTGAAGATCGCTGGTTTAATTCCAAAACTGAAAGGAATAGGATCCCCATGCTACCTCACTGCCACTTGGCACTAAGAGGATGAATATGTTTCAGTGTTTCTGAGTTTGGTATTTCATACCTTCCTTAAACCCTGCTTTTGTCATATGTACCAGTTCTTCTACTGTACGAGGGTGGATGGTGATGAAGGTGTAGACCCGTCACACAGATCTGGGCATGGCACGACACTACCATCTAACCTTTGGAATCCCTGGGAGAATAATGAGTCGAGGCAGAGGAAGATGGTTGAGTACAGATACCTTACACATTAAAAAGAAGATTTCCTACACGTCAAACTTGTTGATATAATTGTTCAGAGCGACACATCATAAGTAAGTGCTGAAACTGCATGTCTCGTGAAGGTGATTTAAGCAATTATTCTGAAATCGAAAATGGTGAACAGTTGAGCATTATAGAAGTGAAAAGACAAACACATGATAAGGAAAATACATGCCTTATTGACAGTAAGATGTCATTTTCAATTTGACGTTAGATAAACGTAAAAATAATAATTTGGTGTTTTAATATCCTTTACTTTTAACCCTAACACTGTTAAACCCTCGGCTAGCTATATCACAGCGTATCCGTGTGCGTTGTATGTGTTTGTTTAACTGTGCCCAACAATCCAGTGATTGATATTATGAGCAGCGATCATCTCTATCGAGGTAAGATGACAGTCAATGTACCAAATCACCGACCCGTAAAGATCCGGGTTAGAATTGGTCTTCAGCTGTCATCGTATCCCAGATGCGTTGTTCGATGCTCATGCTGTTGATCACTGCATTGTCTGGTCCAGACTCGATTATTTACAGACCGCCGCCATATAGCTGGAATATTGCAGAGTGCGGCGTGAAACAACAACCCAACCAAAATCATCGAGCCTGACCGATTGATCAATTTTCCCGCCTCTTACGACCAACATAGGTTGCTGGGGACCAATTTGAACCAGGACTTCCAGTTCAGATATATAAAAGTGATCTGTCAGTACCGGAACCTGTGCAAAGGAAATTTATTGTTGGTGCTATGAGGAAGATCCGCCAGGCGTTCCTTCTTGGACTGGTTGTTGGAATATCATGGAATCCTCACAGAGAAAAGGGAAGTTATGGCAAACGATTTAGCTTGCTTGCCCGTCGCAACCGAATTAAAACATGTCGATGTTTAGTTTTTTTCTACATATTATAAACCTATTATGAACAGCACAGAGACAATCACAACACAACTTGACTAGCTATTAAGGCTACGCTAAACCGCTTGCAGCACAAACAGCTTCTCATTGCTTCTTTGCCTGTATTCATTCATCACAGAACATGCTCCTGTTAATGGTAACCCGATATCCTTGTATTCTCAGACTGCTATTCTGGTGTTTTAACCGTCTGGTGCCGCCCAGTGGGTTCCTCAATGGAATTCCAGGGCTTGACAAACACACTGATGCCCCAGGTGGCAGGCTGCCTGCCACGGTCATGGCTAAACTGGTAATTTTAGGAAATGGATAAATTTATTATAGACGGTTCACATTTAAGGCGTTTTGTACAGAAATCTTCTCAAATTACCGAAATGTATTTTGAGAGAGGGAATTAGAATTAACGTTAGTGTGTTAAGCGGTAAAGTGCATCAGGCTGCTGGCACACATACACGTCTTGTGTCATGTTACGATATGGAACAATATTGCAGTCAAGCATG